ATACTAATGTACAATAATGTGACACATAAAGAATTATTGAATTTATTAAGTATGGACAATAGAGAAAGGGAGGACACAATACATAAAGGAAAATGTAGGAATATAGTAGATAGAATAATTGAATCAATAAGGTACAGACAACAACCGAAAATGAAAGAAAAAGGATTGAGAATAATAATAGTAGTAATTGTAAGGGACTGTATTGAAGGAGACTTAGAAAATGAAGTATTTGATCGGTTAATCGGATGTCCAGAAATAATGGAACATGGATACATTTTAGAAGATTGGGATGTTGAAAATAGATTTCAAAAGTTTTGGGATTGGTACAACACGATATTGGAAAATGAAATGAAAGCAATACATGTTAAGAAGTTATCAATAAAGTTATTCAGGGATTTATTATATGAAGAAACAGAAAATCTGTTGTGGACAGAGGTAAATGAATTATTAATCCAGATAGAATATCAGAATAGATGTGATGTATTCACTCAAGAAGGAGAGAATACATGGAAGAGATATGTATCAAAAGTAAGACAAAGATTTATTGACACCAAACAATTTACAAGAGAACCCGAGGACCCAGAAAGTGATAGTCCTGAAAGTTATGAATTAGAATACAGTGATGGTAGTATACATTATGAAGTAAAAATAGAGGACAATGTCGAATGGACAGTGGAATTATTAAAAAGAAAAATTGAAGAAATGGGTGGAAGGTTCACTGACAAAGATATACAAAGAATGTGGGACCTATTTATAAGGATAGAATTGATATTAACAGAAGACTTTTTAGGTACATTTTTCGAATTAATGGGACTAAGTTATGAAAAATTAAAAGATGAAATAAATGAATGGTTAACTAAAGAAACATTAATATGTGGAATTTGTAGAAATAGAAAGTTACCTGATATGATATCAGATATTGGACAATGTAAAATTTGTGAACAAAAAGAATTATTATAATTAAAGGATGACTTAGAAAAACTTGGATACGAATTAAATTTGTCAGAAATAGATAGAATTAGAGAATTCAGGATAAGCAATAGTTTAATATTAACAACGGAATTTATGGAAAAATATTTCCAGGAAATTGATTCAGATAACAAAGAATTAAGGAAAAAATTATATGAATGGATAAATGAAAATACCACATTTTGTGATGAATGTGGAATAAGATGGATAAACAATAAATTTGACGAAGGAAAAACCAAGTGTAGGGATTGTGAAAATGACGGAAATGAAATTGATATCAGGATTAAAAGATTAAAACAAATATGTGACGATAATAAAATAGAAATAACTAGTGGAGAGTTATTGAGGTTAATCAGTATGGGATATACTGATGGAGAAATATTGGATCAAGAATTTATTGAAATATTCCAAGGAAATAAAAATGAAATGGAGAAAAATTTAAGGCGGATATTAGATAAATTTCTAAAACAGCAAGCTAGAATTGAGGATAGTGAAAGCAGCGGAAATGAATCTGATAATGAAAAATCTGATGGATTTGAAAAAGAATTGGATGGATCTGGAAAAGATGGAGAAATTTTAAATCCAAATGATACCGATAACAATGAAAATTTTGAAGAACCTTATGAAGAAAACATTATAAATAGACCTGGTTTTGACTCAAGTGAAAGTTCAGAATCAAATTCTGAGGATAAAAGCGAAATATCCGATTATAATATAGAAAATTTATTTGAAACACCTTTAATACCACCGATACCACCAGTTCCACCAATAGTACCAATAATTATGGGAGCAACAAGAGCTGAAGTAAGGGAAGATGTTAGAGCAGCTTTACAAGCAGTATGGGGACATGATATAGGGAACAATTGGGCTGGATTAATCCAAGCCAATCCAGTAGCTAACGCAATTGAAGATGCAGGAAATGCAGCTGGAGGAATAATCAGTTTACCACATTTTTACGGAAAGGAAGAAGAAGATGTTAATGATTGGGTAAGACAATTCGAAACAGCATTTACTGCTATAGGAAAAGCAGCAGGAGTAAATGGAGCTAGACAAGCAGCAATGGCAGCTACCTGTTTGAAAGGTGCAGCAGCACAATGGTATAATGAAAAGAAGGAAGCAAACAATGGTCATTTGGTAAATTGGCAAGATAACGATAATGATAATGATTTAAAACATAGGAT